TCGAAAGAATTTAAAACAATTGTTGAAATTCTGTATGAATAAAAAAATAAAAGAATTTTAAAAAAGGGTTAGTAGTATATATTTATATGTTTGAAAAAAATACAATTTAAATGGACCAAAAACATTTTCATTTGAAAGTAGATCTAGCTTTAAATATGATGGTGTCTGGTATTTGATATTTGTTATTATTATTATTATTATAATTATTATTATTATTGTTTGATATTTTAAATATGTATATTTATAATTTATAAAATACATTATTTACATTATTATTGATATTAGTTTGATTATTTATTATTATTTATTATTATATTATTATATTATTATTATTATATTATTATTTATTATTATTATTATTATTATATATAAAATTTTACCAACGACCATCAATTGCTGCAATTTTAATTACTGGTGGTTCCATATGATTAACAATTGAAGCTGAAAGTTTAGCATCTACTTCTTTTTTTGTTTTTGGATCTGCCCAAATTAAGTGATTACTGTCTACGTATTCTCTGGCATCAGCTTCACTTTTGAAACCAAGATCACGAATTTGAGATAATAAAACATTTGGACGATAAGATTTTATTATTATTTGAAGGGCTTGAATTCGAATACGTGGAGTAATCTTTTCTAACAAGAAACTTGCCATGTTGGGTGGGTTCTTACTTAGTTTGAAGTAGGAGCAGTAGTTATTGTTGTAAATGGAGGTTCTAATTTGAAGAGCATGTTGAATATGTGGTAGCTTTGATATATTTTTTTCTTTGTCAATATCTGAAATGGTTTTAATAATATCGTTACTATTATCTTGGAAAATATTATACAACAAACGGTAGGCAAAAAATTCACTGACACTGCTAGAGGCAAGACCTGGTTGTTTATATAAATCAAATAGTTGAGTTTGACATTGATTAAATTGGCCCAAATCATTATTCTCCAAAGCTAAACGGGCATGAGTTTCATAAGTTTCGACAGTAAAACGATTCTTTATACGTTGGACGGTGAGATCCTGTCTTATGGATCTAAATTGTTCGCAAGTATACGAATAGTCACCTTTTTCTATCCACTTTTTCTTTAGCATTAAAAGCGATCTCTTTAAAACCTCCTCTGGTCTGACAGTTGATGGATCTGGTGCTGATGTTAATCTGAGATATTGCTTTTCTAAATTTGTACAAGTTCCTTTAATTGTTAAAGTATCCCAATTTATAGTTTCAGAGCCATCATATGAAGGTTCTTTATTACCAAAATTTGCAGCTGAATAGCTACTTGAATTACCTGAGCTTTGGGTATTTCCAAATCTTTGTAATCTTTTATTTTGACTAGTTGGTGAGTCAAATGTTGATTTTCTTTTACCCTTTATTTGTTGCTGTTGTTGTTGCTGCTTCTTTGCTTTAACTGCTAATGGCATTTCAAAATTATCGAAAGTCTCAACTTTATTTTTGTTTCTAAATTTTAATAAAAAAAAAAAATTAGTATATAAGATATTATCAATTTTTATGTTGTTATTTTATGTGTATCTTACGTTTGTAATGGTGGGTCATTATCCCAGTCGCTAAATGCTGAGGCTATCTTTAACTTTTGTTTCTTTCCTGGTGCCTCGGTTTGGAGTTGGATTGATGACTTTTCGAGACCAAAGCTATTATTCTCCTCTTCTAAAAAACTACTTGTTGCTAATGAGTTTGCTGTAATTTTTTTAATTGGTTGGAATGTATCCTTTGGTTTTTGTTGCTTTTTATTTGGTGCCTGATATTGATGTTGTGGTGGCTGTGGTGGTTGAATATTTTTTATTGATGTCTGAGTCTGGGTTTGGGTTTGGGTTTGGGTTTGTTGGTTAAATTGTAAATGGTTTTGTTGTTGATTCCAATCATAATAGCCACTATTCATATTTTGTGGTTGTGGTGGATATTGCTGTTGTGGTGTTTGTTGATTATATTGCTGTTGTTGTTGCTGTTGTTGATTGTATTGTTGATTATATTGTTGGTTATATTGTTGATTAAATTGCTGTTGTGGATATTGTTGGTTATATTGATTATATTGTTGATTGTATTGGTCTCCATATTGTTGTTGTTCTTGATTATAGCCGCTATTTGGAGTTTGATTACCATATTGTTGATTATATGAACCATATTGTGGTTGTTGTTCTTGTGTATATTGGCCATATTGTGGCTGTTGTGATTGTTGTTGTAATGGTTGCTGCTGTTGTTGTTGTTGTTGTTGTTGTTGTTTACCTTTCTTTTTTTTTGAAGCAGGTGGGGGTACAATCTTTGGACCAGATGGGATTTGTGTATTTGGCTTTTGTGGTGATGGTTGACCCCAACCACCACTGGCACTAGCATTGGCAACTATTTGGGCATAAGATGGAGTTTGTTGTACTGGTTGTTGCTGTGTTTGTTGATAATTCCATGAATTGTGATCGGCGCCTTGTGTAATTGTTTGATCAGGAGTATACCAAAAATCACTACTACTATTTCCTGCTGAAGTTGTACCATTCCAGGTGGAATTATTATCTGTATACATACCGTTAACGTAACTCATATTTATATTATTATACTATTATATTATTAAAAAAAAGGTTCTAAATGGATAAACGCAAACTAAAAAAACACTTTATGGATTATATTATAATTTAACAAACTATTTACAATATATATTTATTAAACAACTTTATTTATTGTGAAATATCGTTAAAAAAAAAAAGAGAATTTTTTGATAGCAAAAAATTCCAAAATTTCAAAAAAAAAAAACAAAAAAAAAACAAAAAAATAATTTTAATTTAAAAAATAAAAAAAAAATTCTTTAGTAACAAAAAAAAACTGAAACTAATATTATCTATTATTATATTGCTATTATTATTACTTTCTTATTATATCTTATTATTTATGCGGACACTCGCGTGTTTTATTTATCTTAACTATTTCCCTAAATTTTGTTAAATTGGCTATGAAATGAGTTTAATAAAAATTTTATAAAAAAAACAAATTGTATTGTAATATAGCCAAATTATTATTATTTTGTTACTATTATTGTTATTATCAAAACTACTATTATTGTCTTTTAGTTTTATTTTATTTATGATTTTTTTTGTGTGATTTGAATCTTAGTAGACACTAGACTACTACTGTTTTTAATTTATTTAAATAGAAGAGGAAGGAAATTTAAAAAAAAAACTAAATACTAAAAATTAAAAAAAGATAAAGGTATAATATAGGAAATATCTAAAAAGCTTTTTTTTTTTTTTTTTGAAAGAAAGAAAATTATATTTTATTTAATTTTTTACTAGTTATAAATTTACTAATTATATTTTTATTATGTTGCTACTTTTATTATTATTTGTTTTTTGTTATTGCTATTATCAAAAATATAAAATTTAAAATAAATAAAGAAAAAAAGAAAAAAATATGTATATATTGTGTGAAAAAAATTTAAAAAATAAATAAAAAAAATTTAAAAAAAAAAAATAAAAAAATTTAATAAAAAAATAAAATAAAAAAATAATTTTTTTTTTTTTAAATTTTATTTTTAAAAATTTTTTTATTATTTTTATTTAAAAAAAAAAAAAAACGAAAACGATTTATTTGTGTTTTTTAGAAATAATAATTATTTTTTTTACTAAAATACCCAACACATAGAAATAATATATTTTTTTTTTTTCTATAATTTGTATATAATAATAATAATATAATATAAAATGGCCAGATCAGTCAGATCAAAGAGAAGATTAAGAAATCAACGTGTTCAAGTTGAAAAATTAAAAGTTTTTGAAAAGAATCGTTTAGAAGACATCATTAAAAAAAGAGATGAACATTTTGATAATCAAATTGTCGATGCTGAAGGTTTGTTATCATTTTAGTATAATAGTTTAATAGTAGTTTGGTGGAATAACATCACCGATCAATGAATAAGCACAAATATTAGCATTCATCATTACTATTGCCATTTATCATTTATCAGTTAATATTGATATTAACATTTTTATTAAATTATTATTATTGTATAGCTTTAAATATTCCACCTGAATTAGCTGCTTTAAATAAAACAAATACAGATGAAATGCAAGTTGAAAAAGAAAACACCAAAGATAATAAAAAGAATAATAAAAAAGTTGATGCTATGGTTGATGATGATGAAGAAAGTGATGAAGAAATGGATGATTCAACAAAAGTTAAAAAATCAGTTAATCCATCTCACTTATCAAATAAAGAAAATAAACAAAAATACATTAAGCTTTACATTAAAAAACAAAAGAAAAGAGCTCAACATAAGAAAAAAGTCCCAATTATTTAAATTAATAATAATAATAAATAATAAATAAATAATAAATAAATAATAAAATAACAACAACAACAACAACCACAACCACAATATACTATATATAAAACTTTCAATATCAATAATACTTTTTTAAAAACTCAAACAGAAATGCAAATATTAATTAAATTAATTGTATTTATCTTAATTTTAATGGATAATTAATTAATTCATCACCTATTAATTAATTATAACAAACACTTTACTCTCTTTGTCTCTTTAGTTAAAATGGAAATATTAAATATTTTCATCCCAAAAAAAAAAAAAAAAAAAAAAAAAAAAAAAAAATAAAATAAAAAACAATTTTATAAAAAAGGGCTTTTATCATTTTTATTTATTTATATTTATATTTATATATTTATATTTATATATTTATATTTATAAAACAATTCTCGTAATTCTTTTTTTAAATCTTAAATATCTTTTTTTTTTTTTTTTAATTTTTTTTTTTTTTTTTTAATTATTATAAAATTTTTTTATTTTAGCTTTTTATTTTGTAAATTTTAGAAACAACAATAATATATAATAAATTGATTAGTTTTATTTATTAATTTAAACACAATGAAAATAAAATTAATTTTAATTATTATTTTAAATATTTTTATTTTTATTAATGGCCAAAATAATAAAGTTTTAATTAAAAGTTTAAATAGGGATATAAATTTTTTGGATTTTTTTGGTATTAATTGCGAATTTAATTTATTCTCTAGTGATGGTGTAAGTACACAAATTGCATTTATTAAGGCTTTGAATAAAGTTAACTGGATTAGAATTGGGATTCGATTCGATGAATTGCAGCCACAGGAAAATGAACCGATTAAGTGGGAGAGTTTGGATGCACCCATGTCGCAAATTAAGGCATCAGGATTGAATACTATCGTCTATTTTACAGGTGCACCAAAGTGGGCCAGTGTCTACACCACAGATGATGGTGAGTTTTCGCCCTTCTATCCACCAAAAGATAACAATGTATTTGCAAATGTGTTATTAGAGATGGCCAAAAGATATCCATTTGTCAAGTATTGGCAGGTCTGGGACAAGATGAACGATGATTTATATTGGAAGTCATCCAGTGCAGATGATTATAGTTCTTTATTTGAAGCATGTGTTGATGTATTTAAAGCAAATAAATTGGATGGTTTACTATCAGTTGGCAGCTTTTCAGAGTTTGGTTACTATTCACCAGACGATACAAACAATATGATTGACGATTTGGTAAAGTTAGATTTATTTAAAGGATATACAGCATCATATCAGCCATACACAGCATACCCAGAGAGCACTACAAACACCTTACCAATTGACTTTGCAGACCAAAACCAAAGCTATCTTTTGGTTTCAAGTGCTTTGAACCAAGTTTTAAAAACAGCAGGGGCACCTATGGTATTTTCGTCATCTTGGGGATGGAGCTCCAACAATACAGATAAAGGAGAGACTTTACAAGCAAACTATATAGTCAAACGTTTGTTCATGGATATTTTTAGTAACTTTGATAAATCCTTTATTTATTCACTTGCAGACATTCCAAACCCAAGCAGTAATACCGACTCAAGTATCAACTATTACGGTTTACTTACTGGATCTCTAAATAAAAAAGATGCTTTTAAAGAATTGGAAATGGTATTCCAAATCACTGGTCTAACCTTGACAAAGCCTGAAAACTTAAAATCCGAAATTTTAGGAGTACAAGACGGTTTGGTATTCTATACATTTAAAAAGACCACAACCAACACCACTTTGGTTGCCTTCTACACTACCAATAAGGAACAGACTATTACATTAACAGGTTTGACTGGTGAAAAAGCCCAAAGACTTGATTTCGGAGCAACCTACACAAACAAGCTTGACATTGTTAATGGTTCATTGACTCTTAGTGTAAATAGTACCATGTCATTTTTAGAATATCCAATTAAAGACGACTCCAGCGATGAACCATCCGATTCTATTTCATCTTTTAAAGCTTCATCCTTTTGCTTGATCTTAATTTTAAATATAATAATTTTATTTATATTTTCTTTATAAAGAAATAAAAAAAAAAAAAAAAAAACAAAAAAAACAAAAACTAAAATAAAAATTAAAAATTAAAAATTTTATTTTTATCAATACATTTAATTTAATTTGTAAATTATTTATACATTTATATTTATAAATTTGATAAAATGTGTGGTGAGTGAGTGTGGTGTGTATATATGTGGAATGTTTTTATATAGCGATGTGTTTGTATTAGTGAAAAAATTATTTTGTTTGCTTAAAGAAGTATGAAACTTTATATAAAAATAAAAACATAAATACTTTTATAAAATTAATTAAAAGATTTTTTTAAAATTTTTTTTTTTTTTTACCAATTTTTTTTTTATTTTTTTAAATTTTTTTTTATTTTTTATTTTTTTTATTTTTTTTATTTTATTACAACCATTTTTTAATATATTGTACACTATATTACATATTACATTATATATTTATATATATATAATATTTAAATAATATTATCATATAATATTATTTCTAAATAAATTTATTAATTTATATTTATTTAGTTATAAATTTATAAATAGTTTTTTTTTGTTATCTTTTATATAGTTTTCTCTGTCGTTTTATTTTAAATTTCTTTTTTAATTGGTTTTAAATAGTTAAAAATAATAGTAAACAATAATAATATTTGAGAAATAAATAAATAAAAATAATTAAAAATAAAAAAAAGAGGTATATAACAATATAATGGCAGAGTTTCACCATTTAGATAGAAAGACGCCTCAATCCACTTCATCAAATTTTATATCTAGATTTTTTGGATCAGATGACAATCAAAGAGACTTTGGACCATTACCAGAAATCGAATATAGCGATGAACAAAGATTTTATTCGTATCCGGTGATTTACGATACAAGCAAGCCAAGATCATCTTCACCATTTAACAATACTGCTACAAATAATGGACAAAGAAGAGTTCATTCACCAAGTATTGCAGGTCAATCATCTGGTCAAATATTAAAAGAAAATAATAATGAAATTGATAAAAATAAAAATAAAAATAATAATAGTAGTAATAATATCAATAATAATATCAATAATAATAATAATAATGATAATAATAATAGTAATGATAATAATAATAATAATAATAATAATTTAATAAATTTAAATATAGCTCAAAATAAATTTATCAATGCATTTAGATCAAAATTTCAAAAACCTTTACCAAATATTGAAGATAAGGTAATTATAAAAAGTTTTTTGTTTTTTGTTTTTTGTTTTTTGTTTTTTTTTTAATATTAATATTAATATTAATTATTGTTATTATAGAAATTTTGGATGCCAGATGCATCATCAGCAGTTTGTTACGAGTGTTCTGCAGAGTTTACAACATTTAAAAGAAGACATCATTGTAGATTATGTGGGCAAATTTTTTGTTGGAAGTGTTCAGAGAAAACATTAGAGGATAATAAAGGTGAACAAATTAGAGTATGCAATTTTTGCTATAATAGATATATGACACCAGATGAAGATTTAGAGGGTATTCAATATGATCCAATTACGGGTGCTGTGTTATCATTAACAAGTAGCGAGCCACTTAGTAATATTAATAATACAAATACAAATACAAATTCAAATAATACAGGTGGTGTGTTGAATTTAAATATAAATCCGTTTGCAGCTTCGTTACTCTTTGGTAATAATAGTAATAATAGTAATAATAGTTCAAATAATAATAATAATAATAATAATAACAACAACAACAATAATAATATCAATGCAAATAATAATAATAATAATGGAGGAAGTGAAGCTTATGATCATAGTTATAATAATAATTACTTTAATCAAAATAATTTTAATAATTTTAATAACGAAATTTATAACGAATCAAATTTAAATGCAACAAGTTTTAATTTAAATAATCAATTACAATCAAATTTATATGATGGTAGTTTCGAAAATTATAATGAACATATTCAAGCACTTAATAGTAATTTACATAATAGTGAAAATTATAGTCAAAATTTAACAACAAGTTTACCAAGTAAATTTCTTCTCAGCCCAACAAATTATTTTACTTCACCATTTAAAAATAGTAGAAGTTTTGGTAGTAATGTTAACAATAATAATAATAATAATAACAATAATAATAACAATAATAATAACAATAATAACACTAGTAATTCAAATAATACAAACACATCAATAACTGATCAAAGTAACTCAAATGTATCAGTTTCATCGGTATTATCACCACAAGTTATTGACGAGGCTATAGTATACTTTAGTGATCAAGAAGGTAATTACGATAATTTAGATTATGAAACTTCTTCATCAAGTAGTTCTGATAATGAGGATAATGGGTTTTTAAAAACTTCACACTCATCTGCCACCGATGTTGTTGATGTCGAATCAAAACTCTCATCATCATCTAATGATATTTCAATTCATCATCATTCAAAACAAAAACAACAGCAACAACAACAGGATACAGTTGAAGTAGATCCAAGATATAGTATGCCACAAAAAACCTCTACAACATCATTTTCAATGTCATCACTTCCATTTTTTAAAATACCAAATAGAAATAATAACAACAATAACAATAATAATAATAATAATATTAACAACAAAGGTACATTGGCAGCTGGTTCATCATCGATATCACCACCAAATTCAGCAAGAAGTCATTATAACAGTGGTAGTGGATCCAATAGCCATACACCTCAACTTTCATCTTCATTTTCAAATTTACCAAAAATTGAATCATCACCACCAAAATCAGATCAATTAAATCCTGTTGTTGTACCAACATTTAATCATCCTCTAAAAACTTCTTTGCCAACTTTTTCAATTCAACCACCTTCATTACAACCATCACCACCTAATAACAATTATGCTCAAACAATATTTTCACCAAATAAAAATCAACAACAACCACAACAACAAAATAATTCAAATAACAATAATAATAACAATATTAATAATAATAATAGTAATAATAATTCAAATAAAACAATTATTATTGCACCAAATTCTTTGTTTTTTAGTGATCCTTCAATTATATCATTAAAAAGTCATCCAAAAACTACAAATAAGGTTAAATTTTTAGAAAAATATCCTTTACCAAAGAAATATTATGAAAGTTCAAATGATCTAATAAGTACATTTGGTTTTAAAAAGAAAAATAGTGAAGCAGGTAACCTTTTATCATTATTATCAACTTCTCAACAAAAAGAAATTGAAGAAAAGGAAAGATCTAAAATATCAAATACTCCTCAAATGTCTTTTTATATTCAACACATGGGAAATATTGTATCGCAAGAATTAGAAAAAAATAATATTGATGGTTCATGGAAATCAATAATTATAGGTTTGGCTAAAAAGGCAACTGATAATGTAAAAATTCAAGTAATTAACGGTGATAAAATGTCCACAAACGAATATATTAAAGTAAATATAGATTTTTTTTTTTTATAAATTTAAAATAATTTTATTAATTTTTTTTTTTTAAAAACAGATTAAAAAAATTCCAGGTGGTAATAAATTAGAATGTGATTATATCGATGGTATTGTTATGACAAAAATTTTAACCCATAAAAAGATGAAAGATTCATTTTCAAATCCAAAAATATTATTATTAAGTTGTTCAGTAGAGTTTCAAAGAGTCGAAAATAAATTCCTTTATTTTGATCAATTATTACAACAAGAAAAAGATTATCTCCGTATTTTAGTATCAAAGATTGCAGAAAGAAAACCTGACCTTGTATTGGTTGAAAAAACAGTATCAAGACATGCTCAAGATTTCTTATTGGAAGCCGGAATTTCTTTAGCTTTAAATGTAAAACCAAAACTTTTAGAAAGATTAGGTAGATGTTTAGGTGGTGAAGTTTTACCAACATTAGATATTATATACCCGGCTAATGCTACACCAAATAATGGATTATCACCATCTATCAATCCAAGCAACAGTCCAATGATGTCAACTCCAGTAAAATCAACAAGTTTGTCAGCATCAACAGCTTTACCAACTACACTTGGATCATGTGGTCAATTTAGAGTTAAAACCTTTTCCGAAGTTGGTTTAAAAGAAGAAGGTGTTTTTGGTAAAAAAACATTAATGTATTTTGAAAAGTGTCCTACTGAATTGGGTTCAACCATTACAATTAGAGGAGAAAATTTAGAAACTTTAAAGATTATAAAGAAAATTCTTAGATTCTGCATTTATTCATTACATCATGCCTATTTAGAATTAAAATATCTTTTAGATCAATCATCAACACCAAATCCACTCTATATTACAAACAATAATGGTCAAAACTTATCTTGTTCACCACAAATTAAATTCCCACTACCAAAAATTTATCCAACTATACCATGGAAATATAAATTTACAAGTCAACATATACCAACAAAGAAAATGTTACTTCAAAGTTTTTATAAACCACATTCTGATACTGGCCAACAACAATCAGTTTTACAATATACATCAGATGATGAAGTTTTAGGTATAGGTACATCAGAAGCATTTAAACAAAATAAAATGTATTTCCCAATCGAAAATGAATCAATGTATGACCATCAATCTATTGTTTATACACATTCAATCTTTTGCAATTCAACCCAATGTATTCCATTCGAATTACATTCAATCAACTTTTATACAGAGAACGATTTAACTTTAGGTGAATTTCTTAGTAAATTTTGTTTTAGTTATCATGTATGTAACATTAAAGAATGTAACCGTCCATTATCAGAACACGAAAGAACTTTTATGAATTCCACTACTCGTATAAATGTTTGTATTCAAAAAACTCAGACTATTCCAGCTACAATCCAACAGCAACAACAACAGCAAAGATTTCCACAACGTTCAAATATCACTGTTATCAATCTTTGTAAAATTTGTAATAAATTTAGTCAAGAGAATAAAATGTCAGAAGAAGCTTGGGAAATGTCATTTGGTAAATTTTTAGAACTCTGTTTCTTTGGTTTCTTACCAATCAAAAGTGGTGATATTACACCAGAATGCAATCATAATGCCTCCAAAGATCATATTTCTTATTTTTATTATCAAGATTTTGCAGCAATTTTTTCTTATGAACCATTGGCTACTCTTGAACTTTCCTTACCATCAAAGAACTTAAAATCTTGTCACACTGAAAAACAAAAGCTTCAACTTCGTATCAAACAATTAGAATTAATGAATCAATGTGCCATTCAAGTATATGATGCAATTCAAGAGAAACTTTGTGACTTGGGTCAGGATAATCAGGATAGAATTCACGAATTAATTCCATCATTAACTTTAGAAAGACAATTAATTTGTAATAAAATTGAAACTTTAATTCAACAAGCAGAGTCATCAACTGATGGTAATGAAACGCTCATTAATCTTACAAAGGTTTTGTATGCTAATTTTATGACATGGAATTCTCAATTAAGTGGTCTCAGTGATAGTACCCCATATCATCGTTCAAAGAAAAATAATATTCAAAACCAAACCCCACAAACACAACAATTATCATCATCACTTTTATCACAACCACAATTTCCATCATCATTTGTACAACCACCACAATTTGCATCATCATATAGTGTTCAACCATCACCATTACAATTACAATTACAACAACAACAACAGCAACAGCAACAACAACAAAAAGAAAAAGAAAAGGAAAATAATGATACAGAAGAAAAAGAAGATGATGAATCATTAGAAAATAAAGATAATGAACAAAATACAATTGATTCATTAAGTGAAACAAATAGTATTTCAAATAATAATAGTTCAAATAATTTACATGATGACAATAATAATAATAATAATAATAATAATACTAATAACAATAACAATAATAATCAATTATTATCACCATCAATTGTATTAAATAAAAGTAGTCAAGGTATAAATGCTGCAACATTATCATTACCAACAATTAATAATAACTATAATTCTGTGGAAACTGATTTAACATTACCACTTAATCATCAAAGTTTAAATTTTGCAATTTCTGGCTTTGGTTCATATAATAACATCCCAACTGTATCAGCTATACCACCTTCAGTAAATGGTTCAAGTAATCTTTCAATGAATTATTCTCCAAATGGATTATCAAAGGATCCAGCAAAGAAACAACCATTAAAAATTATTGACACCATTACAAATATTGTAACATCTATTTCTCAAACTAAAATTTTAGGACCAACAATGCCATATCTTTTATTAGAAAGTACAGATAATGTTGCCTTATTCGAAAATGAACCTAGTACAACTATTGCTTATACTCTATCAAGTGCTGACTTTAAAACTGCATTAAAAACTTTATTAGAAGAAGAATTGAAAAAGATTAGCGAGATTGAAAAACAATATGAACAACAAGAAAAACAAGAACAACAAGAACATCAACCATCTCATCCATTATCCCAATCTCAATCATTACAAAACTCACCAGTTTTAAGACCTACAAGTTTAAATATTTTAGATAAACCAATTCTTGATAGTTTAAAGAGTTTACAAGGTGAAAATAAAAAACAATCAAATTCCCCAATTTCAATTTCACCATTATCAACTTCATTTGATAAAAAGAAAGTTTTAAATTCAACTTCACCAATTTCAACAATTTTAGAAAAAGAAAAAAAACATAAATTAAATTCATCATCATCATCAATATCATCACCATCAATAAATAATAATAATAATGAAAAAGATGAAAAGGAGGATAAAGAGGAAAAAGAATTAAAACAACAAAATGAAAAACAAGAAAAAGATTTAGAATTTACAACAGCAACAATTGAGGAATTAAAAATTCAAGATGATACATCAATAAATGAAAAAATTGAAGATTATAAAGATGAATTAATTTATGATGATTGTTTAGATGATGATGTATTATCAGATATTTATTCAGAAAAGAATATTAGGTTATCAAAATTAATGGTATCAATTCAACGTAAAGAAATTAGAAGTAGATTTAAATTTGAAAAGAATGGTTACGAGGTAAATATTTTCTGTTCATCTTATTATCCAGTACAGTTTCATGCTTTAAGAGAATATATGGTTGGTGATCAGGATTTCATTCAATCTTTGACTAGATCTAAAATCTGGAATGCAAAAGGTGGTAAAAGTGGTTCATCATGGAGTAAAACATTAGATGATCGTTTCATTCTTAAACAAGTTAGTCGTATTGAATTGGAATCATTTTTAGATTTCGCTCCTTTATATTTCGAATATATTTGCAAATCATTCCTTAATCAAATCCCAACATCACTTTGCAAAATTCTTGGTGTCTTCACTGTCCGTTGGAAAGATTCAAATGGTAAATCAATCAAAAGAGATTTAATAGTCATGGAAAACCTTTTCCACAATAAATCAATTTCAAAAACTTATGATCTTAAAGGATCACTCCGTGGTAGATTGGTAAAGAACGAATCCGAAGTACTCTTGGATGAAAACCTTTTACAAGCTTCCTTTGCATCACCCATTTGTTTAGGAGAATACGATAAAACTAGAGTTGCATTAGCAGTTTGGAATGATACAGCATTTTTATCATCATTAAATGTTATGGATTACTCTTTATTATCAGGTATAGATACTCAAAATAATCAATTGGTAGTTGGTATTATAGATTATATGAGAAAGTTCACTTGGGATAAAGCTTTAGAAATGAAGGTTAAACAATCAGGTATTATGGGTGGTGGTGGTAAAGTTCCAACTGTTATTTCACCAAAGCAATACAAAATTAGATTCCGTGATGCAATGTGGTTATACTTTACTTTATCACCAGATAAATTCACAAAAGTCGAAAATTTACAACAAATAGAAAAAAAGAAAAACAATTTATTAAACAACAATAATAATAATAATAGCAATAATAATAGTAATAACAATAATAATAATAGAAATAATAGCAATACTAATAGAAATAATAACATAAATTCAAGATAAAAAAATAAATTTTTTATTATTTTTTTTTTTTTAAATTAAATTTATAACTCTTTTTTTTTTTTATTTATTAGGATTTTATTTTAAAGATCTATAAATTTATAAAATTCCTTTCAAAAAAAACCAAGATAAATAAAATATTTCAATTTTGTTTTTTATAACAATTTTTTTAATTAAAATTATTTATTTTATTGTTTATTAAATTTTATATTTTTTTATTTGAAGGTGATCTATTTCACAAGATTTCGTATACATTTTCCTCACAATAATAATATTGGGTTTTATTCCACCAGAAAAAACCAATGAGGAAATTAATTTTTTTAAATATATATAAATCAAATTTTTATATTTTAATAAATAAAAAAAAAAATTTATATTTTTTAATAAAAAATTACATTTTAATTCGAATGATTTTTTGATTTTGTTGCAGACTTAATTTTAATATGATAGAAGATTAATAATCTTTAATACGACCTAAATTCTTTTGATCTGTGTTTTGTGGTGTATTATTAATATACATTGATATAGCTTTTAAAAAGCTGTTGGACAGTGCTAAAACTATTTGATAAAACTTAATTTATCCGGTTTTTTGGCCAAAAATATTATAAAAAATCTTCAGGGAGATCTTAAACCCTTGTAAAAAAAAAAAAAAAAAATCGCCTAGACATGGGATCGAACCATGGACCTAGCGGTTAACAGCCGCTCGCTCTGCCTACTGAGCCATCCAGGCACTTTTTCGAAAAATTCCAAAATTTCACTTTACCCAAATTTTAAATTTAAAGATGCTTCAGATTAGCCACATTAAAATCAGGAAATATAGAAAAAGATAAAAGTGGATAATAAAAAATTAAAAAAAGATAAAAAAAGGATAATTTTTTTTTTAAAAAATGGATAATGAACACGATTAAGATAATCGGTAAAAATAGAGATAACGATAATTTTCGAACTCTAGAAATAAGTTATTTACATCTTTTTATTATTAAATTTAAATTATTTTTGATCTAATAAGATAGATTTGTATTGACTAGTTTTTAAAAATATTTTAATGGTTTAAAAAATCCATTCTGTATGATTGCTTTTGACTGGGAGAATCTGTGCTAAACACTAATTTATAACATTTCCTACTCATTGAATTATTCTGTAAAAACTATGATGGTGGTTCCATTGAAGGATTGTGGTGGTGGCAGAGGTGGTGAATTGTGAGCTTTTAAATGAGAATTATGAATGAGACCCTTTTCTAAAATAATTGGAATTGAAATCCCCAAGTGGTGCTGGTGGTTAATTGAATGAGCTTTTAAATGAAAAATTTGAAACAAGAACATTTTGAACTGAAACTAATGAAATAAGTCTTAAAATTTTTGAAAAATATTTGATCCTTTGATGGTACACTTGTTAGCTGTTATCAGCTTTACCGAAATAATAAATTTGAAACATCGATTGAAACAATATAGTTAATAATTAATTCTTCCTCAATTTCATAAAGAAAATTGAAAGAAGATATTAAATTATAAATTTTATCGCCATCAATTTGAATTTGAATCAATATCTGAAATTTCGCTATTTGCATCCATATCTATTGGCTCTCTATCGAATGGATCCTGTTCTCTAATGTTCATATTATTTTCTTCTAATTGACCCTCTTTAAAATTTAATTTTTCCAATTCTTCATTATTTTCAATTGAGAGCTGGAGTAAAACCTGTTGCTCTACTTCAATCTTTTTTTCGACCATTTGGATAATTCTCTCTTTTTCTAATATTTTCTCCTGAAGTTCATTAGACTTTCTAATTTCATCCTCTAATTTAACCTTAAGTGAGTCTCTTTCTTCGACCAATTTTCCTTGTTTTATACCATGGGCGTGAATTGATTGTTTTTGTTGGTTTATTAAACTAAATAATTGCCCAATTTCATTTGATTGGTCATCTATAGCATTAATTAATTTAACATGCTCACCTTTATTTATTTGATCAACGATTTCTTGTTTCTTTGATTGAATTGATAGTTGATCATGGTGGATTTTTTTTTCTAAATCAAATTTTTTAATTTGATGTTTTAAATTTGAGATCTTAAATAGTTGATCTTTTTCCAATTCTTTTTTGGCTTGTAGTTGATTTTTTAATTGTACATATTTGGCTACACTATTATAAATAAAACCAAGTAAAAAACTAATTACTGCAGCAAAAAAGATAAAAACAAAATCCATTATTGTATTAGAATGAAGAGTGGTTGATTTATTTGGTGGTGTTGATTATTATATTATTATAAAAAAATATTGGTGAAATTAAATTTTTTTATTGAATAGAATACTATAAAAAATAAATAAATATATATAATTATAAGTATATTGATAAAATAATAAAGAAAAAAAAAAAAAAAAAAAAAAAAAAGTTTTTAAATTAAAAAACAAAAAAATGAAAATGAAAATGAAAATTAAAAAAATAAAAAATAAAAAATTTAAATTAAAATATTAAATTTAAAAAAAATTAAAAATGAAATTTACCACAAAAAGAAATGAATCTAAAGTGATTAAAAAAGAAATGGGGGTTTTAACCACAGTTTACATATGAATTAAAGAAACTAACAATAGTAAAATTAAAAGAGTAATTAATTTATATAGATCCACTATTATAAAAAATATAGTAAAATCAAAAGAGTAATAAATAATGCGGATCAAAAAAAAAACTATAATTTTCATTAATTGATTTTTAAATATTCATAATTATTTTTTATATTGCATTTGTTAATTTAAAAAAAAGAAATTTTTTTTTTTTTATAAAAAAATAATGAAATAATAAAAATTTAAAAATATATTTTTTAATAAAAGTATTATCAAAATTATTAATTTAAAGTATACCTCTCTCTTTTTAAAAAAACAAATATATCAGAGTTAGTCTAAGTTTATTTTTATTTTAATTTTTTTTTCATTTATTCATTAATATCGTTTTTATTTAATTTGTTTTAGTAATCAATTGAGTTTTTAAATAAAGAAGTGTGGACATTTGGGGTGTAGTTTTTTCGATAAACAATAACAATAATTTTTAATCTCTATAATAAAGCAGCTAATAAACCTAATAATAAAATAGTGAAGCTAACATAAAGGGTTGATGAGCTGCTGCTATCAAAGTCATAGCACATAGCAGTAAAAGTATTTTTACCATCGGAAGGAATTGCAATTGAATGATTACAGATAATTTCAATTTCCTTTTGGATAAGTGAACTACAGGTGTTTCCAGCTAGGTAGGCATAACCTGATTCATATTTTTATTGCCAATAAGTTTAATAGCAGAAGGAGGGATAGCACATTGAATAGGTTTACATTTATCTGCATCTAAGGTAAAATCACAATCACCAGTTGAACTTTCGAAAGTAACCCTAGCAGTGGCGAAAGCTAAGAAAGCTAATAATAAAACAATGATGAATTTCATTTTATTTGTTTTAATTATGTATTTTTTTTCATTTTCTGCAATTGTTAGGTCTACTCTTATTTTTAGCTGTGTTTTTCTTGGAAAAATGCATCTAATGTGATTTGTTTGTGTTGTTTTGTTGTTGATGATGACCCAATTTGTCAGGTTGATCTACCTGTTTTTGAGTTGGTTGTACCGGTTTTTGGACTGATTGTACCTGTTTTTGAATTTGCTGTACTTTTTGTACTTGTTTTTCTTGATAATCGTGTTGAGATGAAGTGGTTGTACTGAAATTGTGCATAACTGTCATAATATTTATTTAATCATATTTTTATATGTTTTAAATTAATAAATTTTTAATATTATTAATATGTAATTAAATATATTTTTTTGTTAAATTTATTTTTAAATTTAAATATTGCGCTTTATCAAATAACTGCCATTTTAATACAGTATTTTTTATTTTATTTATTATTATATTGTTTGATTTAATAATATTATTCGTGAATAATTTAAAAATAAAAAATTTAAAAAATTTAAAAAATTTAAAAAATTTGAAAAAAAAAAAAAAATTTATTGTGCAGTTGGTAAAGTCAAACACTTCACCAACCCCATTTTTTATTAAATTATCTTCTTTTATTTACAAAATTTTAAAATACACAAAACACTTCTTTATAAAAAAAACAATAAAAAAAAAAAAAATTATTTATTAACATCCAATTGGCGATTTTTAATTTTTTCTTCTTTTTATATCAAAAATTTTTGAGGGAGTTTAATTTGCACATTTCCTTTTTGAATTTAATAAAAATGCTAACAATATTACCACCTCACAGAAAGCTTAAAACTTTTAAAAAATGATAAATTACTTTTAATACAAATTTTTTTTTTTTGAAACAAAATATAAATGAAAGGGGGTCTCGACAAAAAAAAAATTAAGAAATGAAAATGTTTTTTTTTTTTTTTTTTATATATAAATTTTTTTCCTACCATCATTAAAATTTATGTTAGGTTAAATTTAAAATTTATAAGATTAAAAAAAAACATCATTATGTTGCCATCAAAAAGATAAATGAGGGGTTGCAAATTAATTTCTCTTACAAATTAGGAGGGTCTAATAAATTCTAATAATAAAAACAAGTAAGGAATTTGTTGAGTGATTTTCTTAAATAAATTATTTTTATTTAATTAAAATTTTAATTTTTTTTTAATTTATTAAAAATATTTAAACTTTTTTTTTTTTTAATTCATTAAAATAAATTACTTTGTAAAAGTATAATAAATTTAAATATGTATAGCATTTAATTTCTTCAAAAAAGAACCAAAAATCGGTAATTCTAAATGTGAAAATATTACCAATATTTTCTTCAGTATATTGGATAGGGATAAAAACAGTGTAATCACCATAGATGAAATAAGAGCTGTAAGTTTTATAAAAATTTTTTTTGTTAGAATATAAATAAATATTTTACTGATCTTTTATTTATTTATCCTTAGCACCAAAAAAAAAATGATTCTCTTTTCCAAATATAATAAATCAATGTTTGTTATAATCATTAATGGGTTAAAAAAAGTTACTAAATAAAAAATACCATTGTTAATTTTGAAAATTAAAATTCTTTATATTTTTTTTACCTATACTCCATTAACTATTTTAAATAATGTGGGGGTATATTTGATTAATATAACCTTATCCATAGTTTTAAATGTATTCATTTAAAAATAAAGTTTACATAGTAGTAGACTTTTGTATCCAATATAACCTGAAATTTTTATATAATAACCCAAATACATTTCATTCTTCGGAAATTTCCTGTCCTAAAAGTCGGGGTCAAACCACCTCAAACCAAACTTTTTTCATTTTTATGCAATTTTTTTTTTTTCATATTTATGCTAACATAAAGGGTTGATGAGCTGCTGCTATCAAAGTCATAGCACATAGCAGTAAAAGTATTTTTACCATCGGAAGGAATTGCAATTGAATGATTACAGATAATTTCAATTTCCTTTTGGATAAGTGAACTACAGGTGTTTCCAGCTAGGTAGGCATAACCTGATTCATATTTTTTATTGCCAATAAGTTTAATAGCAGAAGGAGGGATAGCACATTGAATAGGTTTACATTTATCTGCATCTAAGGTAAAATCACAATCACTAGTTGAACTTTCGAAAGTAACCCTAGCAGTGGCGAAAGCTAAGAAAGCTAATAATATAACAATGATGAATTTCATTTTATTTTTTTTAATTAAGTATTTGATTATTTTTTGAAATGAAAATTTTCATTTTTATATTGCTGAAAAAATTAAAAAATTTTTCCCCAAAACAAGTAAAAAAAAAAAGATTTCTTTGGAAATAAAGAATAGATATTTAGGAAATCTTTGTTAAATAAATTTTTATTTTAATTTTAAAAAAAAATTTTATTTTTTTTATTTTTTTTTTGGTTTTTAAAAAAAATTTATAATAATAAAAACAATCATGTCGCAAAGTCTAGTAATAAAATCACCAACAACACCAAAACATACAAAGACTTCCAAAACATATTAGAAAACATAACAACTATAGGTGAGAGATTGTATAAAAAGAGAAAATGGAAGTACGTATGCCAAATTCACATTACAACACAATTCACAGAAAACAACTTTAGAGAAATTCTAGCAGATTCAGATACAAAATATTATGAAGTAAAGAATTACAGTAATAATAAAAAAGAATGGACATACTAACCAACGAAACTGAAATAGCCAGTACCATCAGCAAAAAAGGTGAAATAGTACTCGGTTCAAGAAAAGTACAAAAAAGAGCAAACAGAAAAAATTCGATCTATTCTGTTGGGAACAAGTACTATTAATATCAACAACAAACAAACTGGAAGAACTATATGTAGAAATAAGAGTACTCAAACCTAACAGTAATCGATGGAAAAAGGTAATACCATCAAACCCACACTCAATTGGCAAGATAGAACTAATAACCCAATCCGACAATAAAAATACAACAAAGAAAATCAATTATTATCAACTCACAAATAAGCAGTCAAATCAAGAGCCAACAAATCAACCTGTCATTTCAGTACAACCAACTCAAAAACAGGCAAAACCAATTCAAAAACAGGTACAACCAGTTCAAAAACAGGTAGATGGACCTGATCAATCAGATCATCAACAAATTAATCAAAGGTTAACAATTAATACAAAAAAACGGATTTTTTTTTAAAAAATAACCAACATAAAATAAAATTAAATAAACATCATAAAATTTTATTTTATCTAAAAAAAGGAAATAAAAATATTATAGTTTTTTTTGTAACATAAATATTAAATTTTATTGACAACACCTTTTTAATATTTACAATATATCAATAAATAAAAAACCTATTAATTAGTGTTTTAATTTAATATATAAAAATATTAAGACAAATTATATAAATAAAATATTGGTTTTATTAAATTTTATTTAAAAAAATAATTTAAAATTTTGTTTAAGTTTTGGATGGTAATATGAAATTTTATTTTTTAATTTTTTAATTTGAAAAATAAGAAATTTTTATGAAAAAAGTGAAAATTTAAAAATAAATTTTCATCAAAACCACCACGCGTTTTTTGACAAAAAAAAAAACGTGGTAATTTTTAATATAATTTACCACCTTAAACTCGACAAAACTATGTGTTTAAAAATTTTTTATAATTTTAATAAAATTTAATATTAAAATCAATAAAATGTGAAAATATAAATTGAAAAAATTTTAATTTTATAATCATTAAAAAATTAAATAAATATAAATAAATATTAATAAATATAAATAAATAAATATAAATAAAAACAAAAAACTATATATAAAAATGTTAGATTTCATAATAAACTCAATTTCATCATTATTCTCCAATATTTTTAAATTATTTGAAGGAAAAAAAGATTCAAGATTGCTTATGTTAGGTTTAGACAGTGCAGGTAATATTTTTTTTTTTTTTTTTTTTTTTTTTTTAATATTTTTTTAATATTAAATTTTATTCATTTTAGGCAAAACAACTATTCTTTATAAATTAAAACTTGGTGATGTTGTATCCACTATACCAACCATAGGCTTCAATGTAGAAACATTAGAATATAAAAATATCAGTTGTACTATATTTGATGTTGGTGGTCAAGAAAGATTAAGAACCCTTTGGAGACATTACTATCAAGGTACACAAGGTTTAATATTTGTCGTAGATAGCAGCGATAGAGAAAGAATTGACGAAGTTAAGCATGAAATTGAAACCCTTAGAGTACAAGATGAATTACGTGACACCATATTTTTAATTTTTGCAAATAAACAAGACCAAACTAATGCAATGAGTGTTTCTGAATTAGCTTGCTATTTAGAATTGGAGAAGATGAAAGAAAGAAAATGGTATATTCAACCAACATCTGCCCTTAATGGCCAAGGTATTTACGAGGGTATGGAGTGGTTATCAAAAAATTTAAATATTTAAAAACCCTAAATTTAAAAAAAAAAAAAAAAAAAATATTATTTGTAAATAGAGAATAAATACCAGTGTATATAATGTAAAATAATAAAACAAAAATATTTTTTATAGCCCATAAAAAAAAAATAAAGAAATTATATAAAAAATTTATAACAGTAATATTTGACCCATTTTTTTGTTTTTTTTAAAAATAATGGTTAATTTTTTTGGAGACATTAATTTTATTGATGGTTTATAAAAAAAACTATTTTATCTAATTTAATCGATTAAGAATTAAATTACAATATTTTGGAAGTTCATATCGCCTATTTAGATTATATGATTCATTATTTAAAACTTCTGCGCCAAACACTGCATATGGGTATTTTATATGTATAATTAATTTTTTTAAACTTGATGGAAACTGAATTAAATCTGAGGAATTTATCGAATCAATAGAAATATAATTGATTTTTAAAACTTCTAAACCCTCATTTAAAAATAATGTTTTTTCAAAACATGGATCACTTGATGAGTCAGGATAATGTTGTATTTCGAACCACTTTAAAGAATTTGGTAAAAAATTTTTATCAAAATAATATGGTTTGAATTCTTGAACTATAAACTTTTCTAATTTTCGAGGCAGTGATTTAAAGTCCAATAAAACATCTGAAGAAAACTTTAAGAATGTAATTGAATCTGGCAAAACTCCTTCAGATATACTGCCCGGCTCATTAGAAAAACCTGCTCCAATAATAAGAGTGGAGAGATTTGAAGGCAATTGATTTGGTAATATTATTTGGCAAAAACTGTTTCCAAACTCTAAGTACTGTAATCCTTCTGGTAAATCTTTTAGTGGCTTGTTAAATTGACCCAATAGCTTTAAAACCTTTAATGACTTTGGTAAATTTTTGCATGATAGCTTATTATTAAACTGGTAACCAAACTGGAGCTCTTCAATTGAATTTGGCAATGAATCTTTTAATATTTCCTGATTAAAATGGGAACTTGTTGAAAAAATTAATTTCTTTAACTGCCTTGGTAGGGTATCTTGAAGTATTTGATTGTTAAATGATGTACCTATATAAATCTCTTGCAAACCGCTTTCGAGTAACCATGATTTTTCTAATCTTTTATTGAATGAATTTCCGAAATTGATTCTTATTATTTGGCTATTATAAATGTAAAGCTTTTGTTTGAATAATTTTAAATTATTCTTTTTTAATAATTTTTTAAAATCACCTTCGCTTATTTTTTTTTTAGAAGAGGAAGATGTGGTAGTATTGGTAGCAGCGGTTGTTGTTGTGGTGGTGGTGATGGTAGTGGTGGTTGCCTTGGATGTGGTGGCTGTAGTATTTGTTGGTGATGCTATACTATCTTTATTTCCATTATTTAAAATTACTAAGCTTTGATTAAAATCATTACTAAAATTTAGTTCTATTAAACTTGATAAATTTAATAATTGGTCATATCTAATTATAGATTCATAATTTTTTGAAAATGTAAAGTTTCTTAATTGTTTTAGTTTCTTCAAAAAATTAAGTGATTGATTAAACCTAAAACCCAAATGTAAATGTTCTAACCTCTTTGGTAATCCTTTAATATCTTGATTAAACCCAAAACCAAACTTCAAATTTTTTAAGTTTTTAAAATTCATTATATTATCTACTGGTTTATCGTATGCGTTGCCAAATTCTAACCATTCCAAACCATCATGTTTTTTCTCTAAAAATTCATTAGAATTGAAATGTAAGTTGAATTTTAATTTCTTTAAACCATTATTTAGAAACAATTCTTTTTGATTAAAATTATCACCAAACTCTACACCTTCTAAATTTTTATTTAAATAATTTTCTCCAATTTCTAAAATAATTTTAAAAAAAAGTTAGTATTTTAAACAAAACCATTATTAAACTAATAAAACATACCTTGATTAAAATTTGAACCAAATTTTAGGCTTTTTAAACCATCTGGTAAAATTGTCTTTTTTCCTTCAGGGTCGTATATTGATTGGTTAAAGTTCTCCCCAAATTCTAAAAAAAATATATATATAAAAATTAAAATTTTTTTCTTTGGAAGTGCACAACAAAACAATCATTACCTAATATTTGCAATGACTCGGGTAAACACTTAACCTGTAAAACTTGATTAAAATTACGGCTAAATTTTAAAGAAACTAGAGTATTTGGTAAACAACCGGCTGGAATTATTTGGTTAAAGCCAAAGCCAAGGTCTAAATACTTTAAATTGCCTGGTAAAACGTTTGAATGATTAGACTCTTTAAAAATTGGGAAATTATAGTCACCATAGAAAATTAATTTCTCGATTGATGATGGTAAACAATGTGGATTGATCTCATTTTTAAATTTTCTTGAAAGCTTTAGAACCTTGATATTACTGCACCCATTTGTTTGCAAACTATCCTCTTTAATTTTTTTATTTAGATCCAATAACAACTCGATTGTATTTTCTGGTATTAATTTAGGTTCAATATAATCAGTACTTAGGCCTGGTTCATCATCATCTATTAAATTAACATAAAATAGGTAATATCTTGCACTGAAATCTCTAAGTTCTTCTATTGTAAATTGTTTATGTCTACCGTAGCTTTCAATCCTATTAGAGTCCCTGATTATTGACAATATTTTTTTCTTTAATATTATATTTCTCCATATTGTTAAAAATCTATCTTCCATGTTTTTAATAAAATAAAGAGTAAAAAAAAATTAAAAAAAAAAGAAAAAAAAATTTTTTTTCAAAAAAATAAATACAATTTTTTTTTAATTAAATTAAATTTTTTTTTAATTAAGTTTTTTTTTTTTTTATTTTTTAATTTTTTTTTTTTATTTATTCTTCATCACTACCAAATAAATCTTCTTTAGCAGATTCACCATTTTCTTTAACCTCAGTGTCTACTTCGTCTTCTTTTTCTTCATTATTATTTTCATCTTCACTTGCATTATCTTGTTTATTATTTTCTTCTTCCCCTGCGTCCTCTTCAATATTATTATTTTCATCGCCCTCTTGCATTTCTTCATCATCATCACCATGAGATTTTTTAGATTTCTTTTTCTTGTGTTTCTTTTCCTTCTTTTCCTTTTTCTTTTTCTTTTTCTTTTCTTTTTCACCCTCACCATCTTTCTCTTTTTTATCTTTCTTTTCTTTCTTTTCTTTCTTTTCTTTTTTCTTTTTATCTTTCTTTTTCTTTTCCTTTTCACCCTCGTCCTCGCTTACCTGATCGTCAGCATCTGGACTCTTTCTCTTTCTTTCAGATTCTGCTAAAGTTTTTTCGATCTCTCTTGTTTGTTCTGCTAACTCTTCGGCTAATTTTCTTTCAGACTCTGCTCTTGCCTCGAGTTCAGCTTGAATTTCCATTTCCTTTCTTCTCTTTTCCTCCTCTTGTCTCTTTACCTCTTCAAATGCTAATTCTCTCTTCTTTGATAACTCTTGCTCAGCTTTTAATAAACTTTCATACTCTATAACAACTCTAGCTAATAATTTATCGATACTACCTAAATGAACTTTTGCTTTGTTAAGATTGAATTTTAATTTTGGATTTGGTTTAACGGTGGCTAAATTTGAAATTAATTTTTGAGCAAACTCCAACTCTTTTAATACTACCAATGTCTCACCTGCATTCTTTTGATGTTTACCTAAAAATACATTTGTGAAACTTTCAATACAAATTGCTAAATTGAAATGAATTACTGGATCGTATGGGTAGAGGTGAATCGCCTTTTTGAGGGTTTGTTTGCAGTCATAGAAACGATTGGCTTCGAAATATGCTTTTGAAAGGTAATGCATTGTAGTTTCGATTTCTTTTGGTGAATTTGATTTTTTTAAACAACCTTCGTACAATTTAATTGCATTATCAATAAGACCTCTGGCCATATAAACATGTGCTAAATTTAATGATACTGGAATACAATCGATAGCAGCTTCACGGATTTGTAAAAAGATATCGCTAGCAAGATTTAAATTACCCTTTTCTGCAGTGATCATACCAATACCATTTGCAGCGTATATATTGGTTGGGTTTTTACCGAGAACACGTTGATAGAATGATTCGGCATTACCAAGATATTTTTCGACTTTGTCTGGATTTGAAAATTTAGCGTTGTAGTAAAGATTACCTAATGATAAAGTTGCATAGGTTTCATTCTTGTTTTCTGAGTTTTCGAGAATTTGTTCAAATTTCTTTTGAGCATTGTACCATTCTTCTTTTGAGAGATGAAGATTACCATAGAGAGCCCAAGCTTCTTGCGAATTTGGTTGGATATGTAAAACCTCTTTGATCCATTCATTGGCCTCAAAGGTATCACCTTGATTTTTAAATATTTGGCTAAGACGAAGATAGCAATCATAATAATTTGGATGCTCTTTAATAATACCTCTATAGAGTTCTTCAGCTCTATTCATTTGACCCATGGATTCGTAAAGACGAGCTAAATTATAAGTGGTGGTAACATTGACAGCTTTGAATTGATCCAATTCATAACCAGATTGTTTGATGGTATCTAAATAGGTTTGCTCGGCTTCGCTGTTTAAACCTTTTTGGTGTCTAAGTACTGCAATATTATTTAAAATTTCTAAACTTGGTGTAATATTTTCATTCTTTAAGAGAGCTAAACCCTTTTCATAAGCCTCTAATGCAGCCCCAACCTCTGAGATCTCTAAAATTTGAGCTAACTCAAACCAATTATTATAATCATTTGGATTAATTTCAATTGCCTTCTTTAAAACTGTTTTAATTTTTAATGTAATTTGATCATGAGTATTTGCAGTAGTTGGTGATGATTTATTTGGGGTGCTATGATGATGATTTGATGATGATGAACCATTTGCTGCTGTAGCTGTATTCATTGAATTTTTATATAATGAACCGTGTTTATACAATGAACCTAAAATTTGAAGGGTTTCATAATTGTTTGGTTGTTTAGCCAAGACATTTTCAAAGCAAGAGATTGCTTTATCAAAATCTTCATTGTGAATATAGATTTGACCTAAACCAAATTGAGCCAAATAAAAATCTGGATTCTTTAAAACAGCTTGATGGTAAAATTGAAGAGCTTCACTCCAACGTTGGGTAGCATGAAGAGCCTTTCCTACTAAGTAACTACTTTCTGCTTTGATATGAGAAACATCAGTATTATTCAATGCAGCAATACCTAGTGTATGAACCTTTTGGAACTCTCCTCTATAGAAATAATGATTTGCTAAATGATTTAATACTATTGGATTGGTTGGTGCTAATTGATATGCTTCTAAAATTAAGTTCATTGCTTCGTCGATTTGGTTATCGTTCATTAATACAAGTGATAAACCAATCATTGCTTCAACGTTATCTCTATCCAACTCTAAAACCCTCTTGAATGCTTCTTTGGCTTTATTATTTCTACCCAATTTAAAATAACAATATCCTAAACCCAATCTAACTGCTGGCAAACAATTTGAATTTTGTTGAATAACCTTTTGATAAGTATCCAATGCTTTAATATAATTTCCTTTATTGAATAAAATACATGCCTTAATAAAAAAAATAAAATTAAAAATATAAATAATTTTGATAATTAAAAACTAAATAAAATAAATCAATAAAAATAAACTTACTGAACCTAATAATGCTGGCAAAACTGGTAATGCAGGTTCTTTATTTGCCAAATCCAATACTTGTTTAAAATTAGTATCAGCTCTTTCTACATCACCTTTACAAAGTAAAAGTACAGCTTTACCAATCCAAGTAAGTGGCTGATGTGGGTCAATTTTATCTGCTTTTGTAAAATGAAAAGTTGCTTGATGGAAATATTCATCTCTTTGTGATTTATCTTTTTCCTGTGAACCCATTTGTGTATAATATGATGCCAATGCATTAAGCATTGCAATTCTATCAAACTTATCATTTGAATAATATCTTTCGATTTCTGGTGTTAAAACAACCGACAAAATTTCTTTAAATTCATTGATTCTATCTTGTTTATAATATTCAGTCTAAAATAAAAGAAAATTGAGAATTTAATATTTAATCTATTGAATATTGCTAATCATAAAATGTATGGTACTTACTGCTAATTTTAACCAGATATCCAATGGAGCAATTTCTGAAGTTAATACACCGATTAACTCTGATGGGCTTGGAAGCGAATTACAATCAATTCTAACTGCCTGATCTGAAACTCCTCTAATTGGAATATATATAGAATGTGCTTGTGTATCCATTTCTTTTCTTTTTTTTTCTGTACACTATGATTATTTAAAAAAAAAAAAAATGATACACTGTTATAAATTTAAAAATAACAATAATAAAAAAAAAATAAAAAAAAAAAGTAATTTCATAAAATTTTTAAAAAAAATTAAAAAAATTAAAAAAAAAAAAAAAATAAAAATTTTTTTTTAATTTTTTTTTTATTAATTCATTGTTAATTAAACTAAAACAAAAATAAAGGAAAGAGGGAAATCTTTTAAGAGCCAATCCCAAAGTAAAAAACCTTTCTTATTTTACTTTATTTTATTTCAAAAATCAATAATTTTCAATTTTTAACAATTGTTTAAAAAAACTATAATATAAAAACAATGTTTTAATTTGGTAAAAAAATAAATAAAAAAAAAATTAATTACAAGAACTTCTTTTTTTTTTGGGTACAAAAAGATCAAATCGCTATATTTCTATATTTGTAAAAAAACTTTGTGTGGTATTGATTTTTTTAAATTTGAAATTTTTTAGTTGAAAATTTTTATATTATATGTACCACGCATATATGTAAAAAAAAAAAAAAAAAAAAAACACTCCCACATATCTTTCTTCGTTAATAAAACAAAGTTGATTTATTATTAAATCACATAATTATTTTCATCGAAAAAATATTTTTTAAATTTTTTTTTTATTTTTTTTTAAAAATGATTTTTTTTTTTCTTATTTATATTTTATAAACAATTTTGATATCAATTAAAAACTAAACCTATTTTAATAAAGTTTAATTTTAATTTATACTCTTTTTTTATTAACTATCATACTATTTTATTTTTATAAATTTTTTTTTACACACAAGTATGTATTGTGTTGGAGAATTTACACACAAAATTAAATTAAAAAAAAAAAAATAAAAAAATAAAAAATTTTATTAACCACTACCAAAAAACACCTATCATTCGACACATACACACATTTACACACCCACTCCCTATTTGAAAAATCCCTCACTATAACTTTTGTTGTATATTTATTTATTTATTTATTTTTTTATTTTTTTATTTATTTAATCATTCAAAAAAAAGAAAGAAATGATTAATTTTTTAAAATTTAATGGAAAAAAAAAAAAGTTTGTGTTCCTTCATTTCTGTTCTTAATTATTAAAGATAATTGGAAAGAAAGAAATAATAAACATTCACTTTTAAATGATCCTTTTTTTTTTCCTCTCTTTTTAAAACACTTAAAATTATTATAGTTTTTTTTTTTTTTTTTTTTTTTTTTTTTTTATTTAATTTTATTTTATTTTTTTTTTTTTTAAAAAATTTGAATTTTTTTTTTTTGATTTTTTTTAAAAAAAAAAAAATTTTAAATTTTTTATTATTTTTTTTTCTGCACACAAACTCACCATCCAATTTTTTTTATTAAATTCGATATATATATAAAAAATTAAAATATATAATTATTTATATATATAATATCAAACAAAACACAATAACATATATTTAATAACATTTTGTAGTAATAGTCCAATAAAAATCACATTTGTGCAATAGTATTATAATTTAAAAAAAAATATAGTTTTTTTTTACTAATTTATCTGTTAAAATATATTAATAATAATTCCTAAAAAAAAACATTGTAAAGAATAGAATAGAATAAAATAAAAGAATGAATCCAGAATAGTAAGTATAATAATAGTAATAGTAGAATATACTATATTTATTTTTAGTTTTTGTTCTAAAAAAAAAAAAAAGATTCGTTTATATTAAAATCTTTTTTATTTTTTTTTAAAAAAATAATTTTATTTTATACCTTTCTATTTATAAAATCACTAACTCTTTATTTTTAATTTCAAAACCAAATTTAAAACTTTATTATTCATCTTCTCAATAATAATTCAATAAATTACAAACAAAATTCAATTATTTAATTAAAACAGCGATTATCTCTTTAAATTACTTTTAATTGGTGATTCAGGTGTCGGTAAATCATGTTTATTATTACGTTTTGCTGTATGTATTACATTATTTATCTTTTTTTTTTTTTTTTTTTTTTTTTTCTCAACAACACAGTTTGTATTGGGAATTTTTTTCACATATTTTTTTTATTATAATAAAAAAACTCATACTAATTTTTTTATAACCATCATATAATTTTTTTTTTAAAAAATTTTCCAAAAAAAAAAAAAAAAAAAAAAAAAAAAAAAAAAAAAAATCAAAATTGCTGAAATTTATTATAAATTCTAACTACCTCTGGATAATAATTTTTTTTTCTTTTAAACAATTTTTTTTTTTTAAAAAAAAAAAAAAAACATCACAAATTCAAACAATTCGTCTTAAAATTATTATAGGATGATACTTATACAGAAAGTTATATTTCAACCATTGGTGTAGATTTCAAAATTCGTACAATTAATTTAGATGGTAAAATCATTAAATTACAAATCTGGGATACTGCAGGTCAAGAACGTTTCAGAACTATTACATCATCATATTATAGAGGTGCTCATGGTATCATTGTTGTATGTAGAAAAAAAAAATCAAATCATTGTTCATAATATTAAAAATTTAATTAACATCAATTTTTTTTTTTTTTGTTAAATTACTATAGGTTTATGATGTAACTGATCATGTTTCATTCAATAATGTTAAACAATGGATGCAAGAAATTCAAAGATATGCTTGTGATTCAGTAACCCGTTTACTTGTTGGTAACAAATGCGATCTTATTGAAAAGAAGATTGTCGATACCTCAACTGCCAGAGAATACGCTGACTCTGTTGGTATTCCATTCTTAGAAACCTCAGCTAAAAGCTCAGCCAATGTAGAACAAGCTTTCATGATTATGGCCTCTGAAATCAAGAAATTACAAGGTGGTATTCAACCAAATAGTAACTCAACTTATAACACCCACGTTGTTAAACCAACCGGTTTCACTCCAATAGGAGGAAAGAAAAAGAAATGCTCAATCTTGTAAACAATTAAACTCTAAAAAAATCACCAACACCCCAATGCTTATCGTAAAGATAAATATTTTGTTTTAATAATATTAACCACCACCAACACCAAACACTTTTTAAATTATTCTTAGTAACAAATATTTCTTTAACAAAAGAGATATATAAGAAAAAATAAATAACAAAAAAAAAAACTAAAAAAAAAATAAAAAAAAAAATAAATTAACCAATAATAAAAAAATTCTTTATTTATTTAAAAAAAAAAAAAAGATATATATTTTATAGTTCATTGGACCATCAAATTTTAATAAATTTATTACAATGAACAAAATATGTAGTTTTTTTTTTTTTTTAAATTTATAGTTTACTTTTTTTTTATTTTTTTAAAAACTGTATTTTATTTTAATATTTAATTCATTAATCCTTTGATTTTATCAAAGAATGAATGTTTTTTTGGTTCAATAAATCTAAATGGGACATTATTTTTTGGTGCAACAAATCTATCAATGGCATCTCTATAGGCTTCGGCGGCATCACTATCGTCTTTTAAAGTAACAACAGGTTTACCTAAATTTGTACTAATATTGGAGAGTAAATAGATGATTAGAGTTGGAGGAGTTTATATTTATTTATTAATAGAAATAAAAATATTTACCAATTTAAAATATCTTCACTTTCAGGGATAACACCAAGTAATCTAATACCAAGATTTTCTTGAATATCTTTAACTGATAGCATACTACCACTTTCAACTCTTTCTGGTGAATAACGAGTAATTAATAAACTTACATTGACTGGTTCTTTATTTTCTAAAGCACGTTTTGATTTTGATGCAATAATACCTAACATTTTATCACTATCTCTAACTGATGATAACTCTGGGTTGGTTGCAATAATTGCGTGATCTGACCAAAACATTGCATGGTGGCTACCACTCTCAATACCTGCTGGACTATCACAAACAATATAATCAAAATTATCTTTTAACTCTTCTAAAACTCTTTCAACACCTTCCATTTTTAATGCTGTTTTATCTTTAGTTTGTGATGCTGCTAATAATGATAAATTTGGATTACGACGATCCTTTATAAGAGCTTGCTTTAAAGTACAATCACCATTAATTACATTTATAAAATCAAAAATAACTCTACGTTCCTATATTTATTATTATTATTATTATTATTATTATTAATTATAATTATATGGTTAGTTTAAATAGTAAAGTATTCATATAGTAATATAATTTAATATTTACCATTCCAAAATGAATATCTAAGTTTCTTAAACCAATATCTGGATATTAAATTTGAAATAAATAATTAGAAATTTTTATTAAAACTTTAAAAGAAAAGTACAAATTGAATACAAACCAAAATCAATAACACATGTTTTGAAACCTTTTTCAGCCAAACCAAAGGCAATGGAGGCAGATGTTGTAGTTTTACCAACACCACCCTTACCTGATGTAACAACAACAATTTTTTGATCTCTTGGTACTATAGAGTTTAAATTTAATTAATTAAAGATTGGTTAGTATTAAATTTCTTACTATTATATTTTTTATTGTTATTGATGTTTGGTTGATTGATTGATTGGTTAATTGATTGGTGATTAATTGATTGGTGATTAATTTATTGATTCATTTTTTAATCATTATTTACCTGTACTAGCTACTGAACAATAGAATCTTAAATTATTATTATTAAAGATTGATTGTTTATATAGTGGTGAAACTGATTGGTTTATTGGGATATTTTTAACAACAAGTGTAATATTCTTTAACATTTTTATTGAATTGCACTATTTTGATAAATTATATTAAATGCTGGAATGAAAAAAAAATCATAAAAATTTGAAAAAAAAATAATAAAAAAAAATTAAAAAAAAAAAAATTAAAAAATTTTTATAAATTTTTATAAATTTTTAAAAGCATAATTATTACTCTGCAAGATTTTGGTTTTATATTTATTTAATAATAAAAACATATAGTTATAATAGTAAAAATAAAATAAACAATAATAAAGTTAATTTCTTTTTATTAAACACACCCACACACACAATCTTTTTTTTTTTTTTTCATTTTAGTTTTTTTTTATTATATATAATTTTTTTTTTATTTGTTATAATTAATATATTTTTAAAAAATGGATAAAGAAAAAGAAAAAAATAAACTATCATTAAAAAAGTTACATAAAAATACATTAAAAAAGTTTCTTTCGAGTAATGATAGCTCATCGACGGGTAAGGATGACTCTGAAAAAAAGAAATCTAAAAAGTTATCGAAAAAGAAATTGGCATTACAACAACAGCAGCAACAACAGCAGCAATTGCAAATAAAGCAACAACAGCAACACCAGATACAATTACAACAACAGCAACAACAGTTACAAAAGACACTAAAATTAAACCAAGATGATGACGATGATGAAGATGATGATGATGACGATGAAGATAACTCGAGTGATGAAGAGGCTGCTACAACCCCAACTGCAACATTACCAAAAGACTTATATATTAACACTGTAAATAAAATGCGAATAGAATACTCAAAGCCCATTCAGTTTACTCCATTTGAAAAAGCCATGCAAAATGCACATGATGATTCATCACATTTAATATTTATAATATATTGTGTTGATTGGTTCTTTGAGAGCCGTCAATTGGTATCAAATGTTGAACAGGTTTTATCAAAAGATAAAAATATACTATATTATTTCGTTAATCAATATGACAAAGAATATAAAGGAGGTGATATACCAGGTGTACCAATTATTTCAATTTATTATAGACAAAAGCCATTTAAGATTAAACGTGACACACTAGATTATGATTGGGAAGATGAAGAAAGAATCAAAGGATCACCAACAGCCAGTCAACTAAAACAACTTGTATCAATTTGTAAACAATCAATAGAATCCTATCACCCAGATGAAAATTTTGAAATTACTATAGAATTTTAATAATAATAAAAAAAACAAAAAAAAAATATTTATAATCTATAACCATTTATTTATTTATTTATTTATTACTATTTATTTATTTGTTTAGTCTTTTGATAAATTAAAAGTAGTGGAAATAACGAATTCGTAATAGTCAAAAAACATGTCGTCCATTGGTTCATAGTTTGGATCTTTTAAGGATGGATCTTGGGTTTCACGGTGTTGGATTTGAATAGCTTCAGCACAACCCAATGCAATGGTTGATAGTAAATTAATTGAGCTTTCACAATACTCTTTTTGAATTGTACCTGTTGGGAAATGGGTTTCGCAAACCTTTTCGAGGGTTTTTGAAAAACTACGACATTTATTATTTAATTCGTAAAGAGTGTTTGGTAGTATTTGTGCCTCTTTTGCATCACTTTCTGGTATATATTGAGCTATAGATGAGAGGTTGAAATCTGGTATTGATTCGAAAATTTTAGAGTGTGCTAAAATAAGATTGTGTATGATTGTTAAACGGGTTCCTGATTTTTCAGGGTCTGGGTTTTCTCCCTCTAATAAATCTGCTAAACAACTTTTATATATAGCGATGGCCTCCTCGTTACGATCCAAGTCGAATAATACATCGGCCTTGATACTGAGGTTAAAGAATGTGTTGTTTAATTCGCATGCCTTGTCGATATACTCCAATGCTTCTGCTGTCTTGCCATCTCTGAGCTTGATAGATGCCAACATTGAAAATGAGGTAGCATGTTTTGGGTTGAGTTCAGTAATCTTTTTATAAACATCGAATGACTCTTTATATTCGCCTTGAAGATAGAGATGGTGTGCTAATGAGACGTATGCAGAAAATACTGGATTGTTTTTAAAATCTCTAATGTATTGAATTTCATCAGATGAATCAATACCTCTAATGGTGTGATAAAATTCGATTGGTTTATCTTTGGTAACCTTAATAATTTGACGATAAATTTTGATTGCATCGGAAATATTGTTTTGTTTTACTGCTAAATCTCCTAAACCCAAAAGACCAATTGGATGGTTTGGATCAATGCTTAATACTTTTTTATAATGTTCAAATGATTTTGATAATTGATTATTTTTTAAATAGATATCACCTAAATATCCATGTGCTGGTAAATACTGTTATTTTTTAATATTATTATTATTATTATTATTATTATTATAATTTTGATTAATATATTGATTTTTATTTGTTTATATATTTAATATATCTATATCTTACATTTCCATCGATAACTAAAATATGGTTAAAATATTGAATTGCTTTGTCTAGTAGACCTTTATTTAAAAAACATGCTGCTAATGATGAATAAGCTGGTATACAATTTGGTAAAATTCCAATAACTTTAGTATAATCTTGAATGGCTTCATCATATTTTTCTGTAACTTCGTAAATTTCAGCACGATGTGCATATGCTTTTGCATCATTTGGTAAAATTTTAATTGCTTCGTCTAAAAGTACAATTGCCTCTATATATCTTGATTGGATGATTAATTGCTCTGCTTTAGCAACTCTATCGCTATACTCTTTTTCCATTGATAAACCTGTAAAAAATTCTTCTGCATCTTTTGAACTGGTTGAATAAAAACGTTTATTATTTTTATTATTATTATTAATATTAATATTATTGTTATTTGAAATAGTTGTAAAGTTTAATTTGGAATAACCATATAAA